GCAGAACTGATAAACACTTTCAAAGAAGCAGAAGGATACAAGATGAACATACAAAATCTGCCTTCCTAAAAATCAATAACAAGCATGCTGAGAAAGAAATCAAATAAACAATCCTATTCACAGCTGCCACCCAAAAAACTGTCAGAACTTGAGATAGTCCTAACCAAAGAAGTGAAAGGCTGTTCAAATGAAAAATTTAGGGACTGGAGATATGGCTCAGTGGTTAAGAGCGTTGGCTGCTCTTCCAGAGGACCAGGGTTCAGTTCCCAGTACCTACATTGCAGCTAACAACCACCCTAACTCCTCCTGATGCTCTCTTCTGACCTCTGTGGGCATTGCATGACATGGATGCACTTACATACATGGAGGCAATATGCTCATACACTTAAAATAAAAATAATAAAATATTAAAAAAGAAATGCTATTATCTTCTTTTTTAAAAAACTAAAGTAAAACAAAAACTTTACAACTCACTCAAATGAGAAATGGAAGAAGACTAGAAGATGGAACGATTTTCCATGATCACAGATTGGAAAAAATATTGTAAAACATTACACAAAGCAATCTACAGATTCAATAAATCCCCACCAAAACTTCAAAACTATTCTTCAAAAAACAGAAAAAGAATCTTAAAATTCATTTGGAATCACAAAAGACCTTGGATAAGCCAAAACAATCTGGAGGGTTGGGGGATGTAACAGGCTGGGGATATTACCATACCTGACTTCAAGCTCCATCATAGAACCATCTTAAAAAAAAAAAAAAAAAAACCAGCAGGGGTACTGGTACAAAAACAGACAAGTAGATCAATGGAAAAGCATAGAAGACTCAGATATAAACCCACATGGCTACAGCCACTTGATTTTTTTTTTATAAAGATACCAAAAGAATTCCTTGGAGAAAAGCCAACTATTTAGCAAATGGTGCTGAGAAAACTGAATGTGTATATGTAGAAGAATGAAAGTAGATCTTTACCTCTCAGTCTCTATAAAATGCATCTCCATACGGACCAAAGACTTTAATGTAACACCTAACACTCTGACACTGCAAGAGGAAAAAGAGAAAATATTTCAAGGTATAGGCATGGATAAGGACCTTCTGAATAGAACTCCATTCAATCAGGAAATAAGAGCAATCAGCAATCAATAAAAGGAACAACATGAAATTTAAAAGCTTCTTGGGGCTAGAAGGATGGCTCAGCAGTTAAGAGCACTGGTTGCTCTTGCAGATGACCCAGGTTTGATTTCCAGCACCCATATGGAAGCTAAGAACTGTCCATAACTCCAGTTCCAGGGAATCCAACATCCTCTTCTGTCCTCCGTGGGCATTGCACAACATGGGTTCACTTACATACATGCAGGCAAAACACTTATACACATAAAAAATAATAGAATAGTTTTATAAAGAAATTAAAGGCCAGGCGTGGTGGTGCATGTCTTTAATCCCAGCACTTGGGAGGCAGAGGCAGGAGGATCTCTGTGAGTTCAAGGCCAACCAGGGCTACAGGGAGAGCTTGTCTCAAAAAGACCAAAAAAAGGGCGGGGGAAGAAAGAAAAATTAAAAATTACAGAAAATTGTCAGTTGAGTAAAGAGCCTACAGAATGGGGGAAAATCTTAGTCAGCTCTGCATTTGACAAAGGATTAATACCTGTAATATACTTTTTTAACTCCTCAAAATAACTAAACACAAAAACAAAAACAACTCTATCAAAAAATTGGCTTTGGAATTTCTTTTGAGCAGAAAGTTCTCAAAAGGAGAAATGCAAATAGCCAGTATATATATTTTTAAAGTGTTCAACATCCTTAGCCATCAGGGAAATTTAAAGTAAAACTACTTTGAAATTCCATCTTACCCCATCAGACTGGCCATCATCAAGAAAACAAATGAAAACAAATACTGGCGAGGACGTGAGGGAAGGGGAACATTTACTCACCCTTGGTGAGATTGTAAACTTGTGCGGCCATTATGGAAATCAGTGTGGAGGTTGCTCAAAAAACTAAAATTAGAACTGCCATATGATGCAGTGAGCCTACTCCTGAGCATATATTCTACTACAGAGATACATGTACATCCACATTTATTGCTGCTAAAAAATACAGTCAGCCCAGATGTCCATCACCTGATAAATGGATGATAAAAATGTAGTACATATATACAATGGAATTTTCAGCCATAAAGAAAAATAAAATTATGAAATTTTCAGGAAAATGGATGGAACTGGAAAATATTATATTAAGTGAGGTGACCAAGGTTTTGAAAGACAACCAAATGGCCTCCCTTATATGTGTGTGGATCTTAATTTCTAATTGTGTCTCTGTGTGTGTGTGTGTGTGTGTGTGTGTATGTGTGTGTCTGTGTGTATTTATGTGATAGTGAGCATACACTGAGTCCTGGAAACTAGAAAGGGATCCATGAAAGGAGAAAAAGAGGCTTTGGGGCCTGAGAGGATTGTAGAATCCATGTGATATGAAACTGGATGAGAAAATACCGGGCTGGAAATGTTTAAGTGGAGATGGTGGATCAGTGAGAGGAGGGAGGGAGAGGACTTTCCCAAACTAAGAAAGCATGAAAATGCCATAAGTAAACCTGCTACTTTTGTAAGCTAATTAAAAAGTAATTGGTTAAGAGCACTGGCTGCTCTTGCAGAAGACCTAGGTTCAATTCCTAGCACTCACATGGTGGCTAACAAACATCTGTAACTCCAGTTCCAGAGGAATCTGACACCCTCTTCTGACCCCCACAGGCATTGCATGACACAGGTGCACTTACACACATGCAGGCAATACATTCATATACATAAAATAAAAATAATAAATGAATTTTTTAATTTAAGTAATTTTTTCAGAAAGCGTTTGAAGAGAAGTACCCTGCATAGGTGTATAAAGCTGATCACAGAAGCAATAGATTATTAAATGAAAATCCCAGTGCCAGAGGTGAGCTACCTCCCTAGGAATTGCTGGCCAAGGAGGCCTCTAATGCAAGCTATTGCCATTGCTCTTGGTTGCCCACCAGAACTAGATGATAAGACCTTATTACTGAGTGCCCACTGGTACAGTAGTGGTATGCCTATTAGGGGGTAACCAACCACCTAATGATCAGATTTGAGGCCCTCCCCACAGGAAGGAATTTATGGCTAGTACTGTAACCCTGGTTAAAAGCCCTTGGCTGGAGATGTCATAGATCCTAGTGGGGAAGCTACTCCTATTGTTTGTTGGACATTTTGTGCTTCTTAAGTTACGTTCTAAATGTTTATGCTCATAGATGGGTGCTGCTGTCAGCTTTGATAAAAGAAGGTTCTTTTTGCTGTGGACAGTGGTTACTACAGAGACTCCTAAGGGGTCAAAGTGCTGAGAATAAGTGACTGTTGGCTTAGCCATAAATGGGACATCAACATCACACACACACACACACACACACACACCGAGGTTCAGACCACATCACACAAGAGAGAGCAGAGAGAATGTAAGAGTCAGAGGAACTTGTTCACTTCTGAAGGCCTGGGACCAACCCTGGCTTCTCTTCATCAGCCTCAGCAAAAAAGGAGAGTTCTCAGCTCAGTGCTGAGCAGCATCACGGGATGGCGAGTCTGACCTTCCAAACATGTTGCTGGCTAGCTTGGGGACCATGACAGGGGTTGGGGACTGGGAGCCCTTCTTCTTGCCCCAGTGGGCACGGTTGGAACCACAACTGTGTTGAAGTGGGACTGAGTCTCCAAGGCCACACTCTGCCAGGTGCAGAACAGGAAGACCAGGGCAGGACACTGGGTGGCTCCCTAGGCACAGGCGGGAGGCCAGCCCCTCCGTGCTCACCCAGGGCGCTCTGGTCCCTCCAGGATCCCAGAGCAGCGACGGGGAGGCAGGGTGGGCCCAGAGCGTCCAGCTGCGGTCAAGACAGGGGCATCGCTCGGGTCTGGGACCGGCGAGGGATGCAGGTCCCCAGCGTCATTCCCCGTGGCCCCTGAGCCCGCAGACCCCGAACTTGGAACTGAGACTCGGACGGTCCTCCCGCTGTCCCGTGGGCAAGGCGGTCTGAGCTCCCCTTGCAGCCCCAGGCGCGGGAGCCGGTTAAGACCGCCCTGGTCTGACCTCCCGGCCCCGGGCAGCGCAGACCACCGCTCCGGCTCGCCGCAGCCCCGTCGAGAGCCCGCAGTCCGCCGGCCGCCCGGGTCTGACCCCCTCGCGCCCCCGCGCGTCCGTCTTTGTTCCCAGCGCGGTGAAAGTGATGTAACGCGGCCGGCGGGCGCTTTCTCTCGTTCCCAGGCTCAGTGAGTCCTCCGGCGCCCAAGCGGGGCTCAGAGCTGCGCTACCTGCACCGGGACTCCGCTCCAGACGGACACCGCTGGAAAAGACCCTCCTCCTCTGCCCACCTCCTGCGTGCAGTGTCGGAGGCGAACCAGGCTTTCCTCTCCAGGCAGGGAGAGAACCGAGGGAGAGCTGCTGCTACAAAGGTTTCTGGGGACCTTCGGACTC